TGTGTGTGTCTGTGTGTCTGTGTGTGTGTGTGTGTCTGTGTCTGTGTGTGTGTGTGTGTCTGTGATCATTTTCAAATAAGTTGTTTTGAGAATTGTAAAGAAGAACTTGTTGATCACTCTTTGTCTTAAATATTTTGAGTTATATATTTAGTTTTCCTTTAGATGTAGACGATCTGAAGTGATTCAGTATTTTTCAGCTGCAGTGTTGAAACACTTGTTTGTGTTTCTCTCCAGGACCTGGATGAAAACCTGGCGAGCAGCGTCTTCCTCCCGTCGTGTGTCTGGCTGCTCCATGTCAGAGCTGCGGGCCTGACGCCGGGCTGAAGGTCCATCTGTCCGATGACCTGCCAGTCGTCCGACTCCACAGAAACTATCGAGAGCGAGGGACGAGTCGACAACGACTCCAGAGCTGTTGAATCAGATGAGAGCCGCATCGCCTCAGCCATGAAAGAGCTCCGGAGCACAGGTGAGACCGCCACGAGTTACTGTTCATTTCAGAAAGTTCTGGAAAACCTCCTGAGGTCTTTGCATGGCTGAGATTCTTTTATAGAATCAGTAATGTCATCAACTGGGATTGTTTCATCATTGATTATTTTTAAATACAAGAACAGAAGAGGTTGTGAATTCAGAATATTTTGATGAAGGTTTTTATTTGTAGTTAGAAAAAGGATCATAAACTCCCAGCTGTAGATGACATACAACATACATGAACACATCTGTGTACCGTGTTTACACTTGTTCCACCTGTAAATACACATTTTCTCTGAGCGACAAAGAGGTGGAAAACTGTTACTATGTGTTGGTGACACTTTGTGTTCACCGCTGGTAGTCGTGTCATGTGACTGATAAGAACCAATCAGGAAGAGATCGTGGGCGTCTACGTCATTAATTTTCTGTTCGTCCAGACTAAAACACAACCCCAGACACTGAGAGACACACACACACAGACACACACTGACACTCGGACTCACTCTGTAATTTTCAGTCAATAGGAATAAATCCTGTTTGGCGTGAGGACTGAAGCTCTGACTGACAGGTTGGACCGTGTCTGTAGAGAGGCTGGAAAAAATCCGCCAGGCGTAACCACAGCAACAGTGCTGAGGTTTAAAATCAAAAAGTATCAGTTTGGTTTATATGAAGGTGAAGAGCCGTCAGTGCAGCTCATTAAACTACACACGTGTCTTCCTGTGATGTGTTCCGTTTGTCTCTAATGTGTCTCTTACATGTGGTTTCTCTGTCTCAGGCTGGTACTGGGGAACTCTGACCGCTACTGAGGCCAAAGAGATCCTGCAGGACGCTGCAGAGGGGACCTTCCTGGTGCGGGACAGCTCTCAGAGGGACTACCTGTTCACCATCTCCGCCATGACGTCGGCGGGTCCCACCAACCTGCGGATTGAGTACAAACATGGTAGATTCAAGCTGGACTCTGTGGTTCTGGTGAGGCCGAAACTGAAGCAGTTTGACAGCGTGGTCCACCTGGTGGAGCACTATGTCACGCTCTCCAAGACCAGCAACAAGACAGCAGCAGACTCTCGACCCTCAGCAGCGGCGGCGCCCAACGGCACGGTGCAGCTGCTGCTTACCAAACCTGTGTACACCGCTACGCCATCGCTGCAGCACCTGTGCCGCATCGCCATCAACAAGACGACGCGGCAGGTCCAGGATCTGCCACTGCCCAACAGACTGAGGGACTATCTGACAGACTATGCCTACAATGTGTAGACACAGGGCGAGACTACACCTCTGTGTGGAGGAGTACCACTGCATCAGCTGTGTGCAATGCCACCTGACCTTGGATCAGTTCCATCATCAGTTCCGACAGGGCCCAGCGGGTCAGAGGCAATAATTGGTGGTGAGTCGTCATGGAAGTAGGCAGAGTTTTCCCTCCGGACACGGGTCCTGGACAGACGTCTCTGAAACACACTACTGTGTGTGTGTGTGAGTGTGTGGGTGCGCAGACGTTAACACAGAGACTGACCACGAGCTACACAACACGCCCCCGATACACACACTTCCTGATGATAGTTTCAAATTAAAACTCATATTTTAAAATCTTTAGGAATCTCAAGTTTTTTTATGATCATTGATAAATGACCCACAAGTTACATCACGTAACTTCACTGTTGTTAGAAATCTAGTGATTCATTTGTTCAAACATCGAAAGAATCTGAAGGTTTTTGCTCCTGAAACAAACTGTAATGTCCCTCAATTCAGATGTTATCACAGTGTGATCATCTCTTCCAGCTCTTCTGGTTTGTGAGGGGTCAGTTTTCAGTTTTCGATCCTGGACGTTGTGAACAGTTGCTCTCAGGTAAACAGGACTTTGTGTTGCATGTTTGTTCACAGGTTTGATGCTCGTGTTGATGATGTTCTTCTGTTATTTTTCTGTCATCATCGTTGGATGGAGGGGCTCTGTCTCCTGCTCTGTGGCTAAATGAGTAGCTGTATATTTACTGAAGGTTTGTACATATCCCAGCTGTGGCTCTGACGCTCTCAGCTGTTTGAGTTTAATAACTTATTTATTGATGGTGTCACACTGTGTGATTGTACAGCAGCTGCACACAGCAGGTTCAGGGCCTCTGTCAAACATGAGATCAATAAAAGTTTCACATGGTGCTTCATCCTGTGTGTGTTTCCGTCACTCACACCTTTTACTTATAATATCATTAT